ATGGTCCACTTTCGTAATGCCTCAACAAGCTGCAGGAATCTCCATTCTTGCAGTCATCATCGGTTCTCACCAAGTCTCCTCAAATTCCTTCTAGCTTGTTCAGTGTCATCCTTACATAGCCATTCACCTCCCCGAGTTTCCCCATCGTTTCAAGTGCTTGAACATTTGAGCATAATTTTTCATAAAACTGCGACACCTTGTTTGGGTTTGCTCCATAAATCGAAGGAAGTGACATGATGCCGTCAGCATAAGCATTTACGATTTTGCTCTCTTTCCCGTATTTTAACTTCAAAATATTCTTTGCTCATTTGTAGCCTTCTGTGGTCAACGGGAGGCCATCTATGGACGGTCGAACTTGCGGTTCCAAAAGCTCCTTAAGATAGGAGAACTTTGTGATTTGTGAAATATCTGCTGCATCAATTTCCGCTGTGAATAGACCCCAGAACTGCATCCAGTAGGCGGGTGTGCCTTTAAACTGAGTGAAACTGAGTTTTTTAATATGATTAAACCCCATGAACCCATGCATTTTTAAAAAGAAGAGATCCTGCACTTTCTTCTAGTGCAAAAATGTACTTAATATTTCTTAAAGAAAAAATCTGAAAAATCCAGAAAGGCAAATAAAACAGTTTTTTTTAAACTGGTTGAGTTTTGGACAATAACGTTTTTTTTTGAAACATGATTCTTTCTTAATATCAACTGCTATATCTGCAAAAGCATGTCTTAAGCACTGAACAAAAACAAATAATGCAAATCTCTTGAGTAGATGTGGATGGTAAACTTAAATTTCATAAAAAAAAGTTTTTAAGCCAGTTCACAGTTCAGTTCAGTTTACCATTATTCTGACTTTAGAAACATAACTTTGCTGTACTTGCATCAAGGTCTGCAAGGAGCCATAATTTATCTTGACCTCCTCTGTGGAGGTCTGCCTGGTCCAGCCCTTGGTCTACCAGTCACATCTTTGAGCCTTTTAGCAGAATTATTTCTTTCGGGATCGTCAAATAGATATTCTTGCAAAGTGTGGTATCTTTCGAAGCAAGGTGCTGGACACAT